AACAATATTGAGTTATACACAAAACCCCAAAACCCCAAAACCCCAAAACCCCGCCATTAAAAAACTTAGCCTCAGTTAGGAATCTTAAGAAATAAATATATAATTATGCTTTAATGTCAACTCAGTTAAGGTATTTGAGGTTGGCATTTATTTTGTGTATAACTCAATATTGTTTCATTATTTGTTCATTAATTGTAATTTGCATTCTCCATTATCTAATCTTATTCTTGTTTTTCTTGTTATTAATCCTGAGTTTCTGCAACTACTTTCCAAAGTTTAATTTTGCCATCATCAGAACAAGATGCAAGAATTAGAGGGTTTTTAGGATGAAAAGTTACTGAATTGACGTCATTTTAATGAGCCATTTGCTAAAATTGGTTATAAATCGATAAAATTTTTCTACCTTTTAGGCAACAATGTTAAACTCAAAGGAACCTGTAGCAGAGCTAGCAAGTGACTCGCAGTTAATTTCATAAACCATAATCTTATTATCAGCACCTCCCTAAATTAGTACATTAGATTGATTGAAATAAAGCTGAATCTTAATTTACAGTAGCTATCAGATCAGTCATGAGTACGGTAGAACCAGGCGAAGAGACCTTTGCCCAAGAACACGAGTAGATTGACCTGCTGTGTAAATTGGAGATCATTCCTTTATTCTCAAAGTTGGTCTCGCTTATTTTCCAGATCATCCAATTCTTGTCCTCTCCGCAACTTACCATGTAATTTCCTGTTCTATCAAAATCAACTCCTAAAATTACTCATTAACTTCTATATATACTTACCCCAGACAGTTGACTCATGTCCTTCCATTGTATAAGAGCAGACCCAGTCATCAATAGACTCTTCGAGTTTCCAACTCTTAATGGTGTCGTCATAACTTGATGAGAAAAGTTGATTTCTATGAGGGTGCCATTTTACAAATTTAACATCCTAAGTATGTCCGCTAGCAACTGCCACGCAATCGAATTCATTTTCGTCATTTATTTCCCATATCCAAATCGTTTTATCTCTACTACAAGTGGCTAAAAATTGGCCATCATAGCTCCATGCTACGCTTTTGACTTCACTTTCATGACCTTCTAATTGCGCTAAATACTCGAACTCTCCCTCTGGTATTTCCTATTACCAAACTCCTGCAGTACCATCAAAGCTGGCACTAGCTAGCATATTGCCTGCCGGATTCCAAGATAAATTCCTAATAGTTCTCTTGTGACCATCTGACAATTAGCACTAAAAGATTTGTAAGATGGCTGCATAGAAATATCTTTACTCTTAGTGTTAGTTTTCCATCAGAACTGTAGTCCCACAGCTTAATGGCCTTGTCTGAAGAGCAAGATGCTAGTATAGTACCCTAGGGGTTCCAAGCCAAAGACCAAATTCTATCATCATGTGCTGCTGTTATAAAATAAGTGTTAATGTATAAATACCATCAATGCATTATAGTTCTTCTAGAGACATTTATTAAGTTTACTGTATAGTATTAAATATTATACCTTATTATTAGAATTTACATCAATTATTAATATCAAAGTCATTTTAAGAAATTTTAGTTAAGAATTTCAATTAATTTATCTTTAGGAGAAAATATTGTTAAATAGTCATAAGTCATAGGCATTTTTTGAGTTCTGGTCAAGAATAAGTTAGAATTTTCTTAAGAGATCAGTCTAGTCTTTGAGTCTTTCATCAGCAGTCTTCTAAATGTACTATTTCGGAAGCTTGACTGAGTCATTAGCAATCTAATTCCAATCTGGCTGTTTCTATTTCTATGAAGCTTTTCGAGTGCTACTGTCTTATGTCCTAGCTGTTTAATCTCCATCTCTTGATTATTAAGATAGAGATGTTTATTGTGTATTTTAAGTGGTTGTATTCTAAGTCGAATTATTGACGTATTAGAAGTGAACTTGTATCTAACTATCTAAGTCACCAAGGCATTTTTAAGCTTCGATTAACTTTTTCTAGTGTGCATTACTCTCTCTATCTAGTGGGTTTAGCTTTATCTATTTTACAAATTCATCATTGACATAGTGATTTTTTAATCTCTCCTCTTCTGCTTTTCTAATTGAGCCAAGAGGATCTTTCAAGAATTCCTTATAAGTTTCATTAATGACACTTGTATCTCCATTCTTTTTCTTGAACTAATAGAGTGAGTATAGTACAGGTCTATCATTATCCCCTTGAGCCTGGTGAGAATCTGTTATCATTCCATGTCCGAGCTATTCAAGCAAAAGTTTTCTTTGATATTCATTTAATTTTCCGCCTAATGATTCACCCTACTTTTCAACTTAATTTTGACTTGTTTTAATCTTATTGGCTAAGGTAATTAGGACTTCTTTAAATATGCCTTTACAAAAAATCTAGTTAAAGTCCTCCCAATCAATTTCTGTCTTCGATTTCTTTGTTGACTATCCAACGATTCTTTTAGCTGTTTCCATCTCTGCTGCAATCCTTTTATTGACTAGCAATCTTGAGACCTCCTCTATAGTCTAGGAGAGGTTACCTCTCCCTTTATCGATTTCCTACCACCATTATCTTACTATATTTAACTGATCACTCAAAGTGATTTCATTGTTATCATCGTTCTCCTCTATTTCATTAAGTAGCTCATGCTTTTCTAAAATTGGTGGAGCTACTGACTTGTAATTTGTATTTTTAGACTTAGTTTGAATTTGAAGATTATTATTCAAGTATTTAGACATTTCGACTTATCTAGAAAGAACATCTAGCATCATTTATTCATTTTTATCTCTTTCAGTTGTTCCAGCTGATTCTAACTTTTAATTACCTATAAGTAATCTTCCTCCTCTTTGCTGGCTTTTTTATAAATCTCTCATTGATATTTCATTTTGCAATCCGTATTCCTTTACATATGATAATCCTGAAACTAAACCATTTTCACCAGCACTAAACAAACCATTGCTAGTTGGTGCAGTTGTCCTTCTAGTATCTCGACTAGGCAAGAAAGATAATTTAGATAGCTCTCCGGACTTTACGATTGACATTCTCTTATTTTTCTACATTTTGCTATTTTCTACTCCTAGTATAGACTGATTATTCTTGATTGATTAGTCCATAAGAATGCTTTGATATTCTATTTAGTCGATTTCCTTTTTCGCTTACCGTCTCACTTCAGCTCTTTGCTCTTTGATTGTCTTTTTAATAACTTCTATCACCTTCTCACTAGTATAGTCTTTTTTGAATATCTTTGAAAAATCTCTAATTGTTATCTTAGCATTAATTTTATTTTTGGTGAATTTCTCCTCATCTATTGATCTTAATAGCTTTAAAACGAAGCTGCTATCATTTGATAATCCCAGAGCTATCAAGGGTAGAGTCAACTCATCAACTTCCAAGTTGCCTGATTCATCTTCATCCCAAATCTTGAAAAGTTCCTTGGCAAATTCTATGTTCTTCTGATTCTGAGTGTACTTGGATTAATCGACATTATGTATCTTCATCCACTTCTGAGTGTTTTTCATGTTTATATAAAGCTCAGAGTTCAAATTCATTAAATATTGCAACTTATCCTTTGGCTTAGACTTTTCTAATTAGTCTCTGAATTCCTTCGGTATTTCAATTTCTTTGAAATTATCTTCCGCATCGCCTTTGCTAAACACAACCCTCCTTCTAAGTTAGTTATGCATTCTGGTGAATTGAGCTTTGACTCCATAGGTCTTCTCCCTGTTATTCATTCTTTTTTGTGCCATCTGTTTTTCTTTTGCTGTCTACTATCCTGTATGCTAGTTAGTTTCAGCAGTTTTTTTCCATGCCTTTTAAAGATGGTTGCTTTTCCTAACATTCTAGGCACTGGTGAATTCTTCTACTGAGTCTGTATTTGACATGTTTCGCTATTTATTCATTCCTCCTATTATATCATTTCCAAAAGGAGTTTGAAAGTTTGTTATATATGGCCGGATTTTCGAAACAGCTGCTGTTTTTATGTCCTCAATAATCTAAGAGTTATCCACTAAATACGATTTCAAAGGAGATACTTGATGTGATCGAAGTCTCTCCCTAATAATTTAATTTATTTCAGATATTTTTGAATTATCCATCTCAGCTCGAGCAGGTTCAAGTATATTTTTGGGATGCCTATTAGGCCTTTTATCACTAATAATTATCTTCCTGCGAATGTTCTGAAAGGCGAAAAATTAAGGCGATGTATTATTCCTAATATTTTCATTATTATTATTGGTGCGACTTATATTAAAGTGTTTAGGAACTTTTTTACTGGATAATACTTCAGTACTCTGGCTTATACCTTCGTTAACTGAGTTAAATGTTTGATCTATTTTATGTAAGAAACTCTCATGGATCTTATTTTCAGAGGGCTTCATTTTACCTGTAAGGTACATTTTAGGCGATATTGGAGCAGTTCTCGATTCATTGTTTGCTTTCTTAAGTGATTAAAGATGGCTAGAATCGTAATCATTGGTTTTCAAGAAGGAAAACTACTGATCATTATTTGTTAATCTCATGGACTTATTATGATCTTGCTTTCTGATTAATTTGAGCTCTCTTGCGGGGTCCTTATTCTTGTCATGAATGAAATCGAATAAAGAGCCCCAGTTAGCTTTGTAAGCATTGTAAACATTGGCATTAAATTGTTCAAGTTTTTCTTAAAGAAAATTTTCCATAATGAAGTTAATAGAAATGTTTAATAAAATTTGATTCAATGTATTTCACGCAGTTTCATCTAAATCTAATTTTCATTTAAAATTGGTAAAAAAAAAACAAGGGGTTTTGGGGTTTTGGGGTTTTGGGG